ATATTTTATATCATACAGTTGTCATCATGTGTGTTACAAAAACTGAAATGGAAACAGGTGCATAGAAGGGCTAACGTAAAGAATTGAAAACCAGGATATCTACAAAGATTAAATGTCCATTTTTCCTTTTTTCTTGAATAATGACATACAATGATAAGTATGTGTATCAAATGGTTATGCATTAGTTACTGAGAAATTAATCATAACTCAACCCTAAAATACTGAATCAGCTACTGCTAGTTTTATTTCCCACCACCTGAGAAGTACTGTAACATTTTTTGAAGTAGGACAGATGAGCCGAACTGAGGTTTTAGGTGTGTGAGTACACCGTATTCCCAAAGGCGTTTGAAAAGAGCCTGCATTCCCGTTCCTTCGCAGTCTGGCTTTGCTGTACTAATACGTGCTTCGAATTTCCCGCTACCTTCTATTTCCTTGCCAAGGGAAGACGACTCTTTTCTCCTCCCTCCCACTCTACATCCCTGTCTCGCCCCCCTCAGTGACCACTTAAAAAGACCGCTTTCTTAGCACTGCTGCTCCTCGGGAGCCCTCCTTCTCTTCAGTGCCGCTACGCCCCCTACCGCACACAGGGCTACCGAACACGGCCAAGACCCGACAGCTCTCGCGGGAGTCGCTGGCGAGATCTGGGCGTTGCCCGAGCAACGGCGGCCACGCCTTGGGCCCCTTTCTCCGGCCACGTACGCAAAGCGGTCTGAGGAGCGCGGCTGCGCTGAGCGGTTGGGGGCCCTGCCCAGCTCCATGGATGGCTCTGAGGCCCTCACCCTCACCGAGAAGCCTGTGCGTGGCCCCCAGGGGTGCAGAGTGACTTGATCTGCTCTCCTCGGGAGGGATGGAGGAACCCGTGCGGGGCTGACAGGAAGACGTGCAGCCGCCCAGGTCTCGTGCTGCAGGGAATGACAGGGCCTTTCTCTGGTAGCGAATGGCAGCAGAGACAGGGGCTGTGTCACATGTGACCGTGTGGACGATCTGCTCAGCCTGGGGGCAGACCTAAAAGAAGTAGTAGGAAGGTTAAGAAGCATCAGGGAGTCTGAGAAGGATATAGGCTTGTGGAACCAGGCTCTGGCCTCACTGAGAGAAAAAAAAACCCAAGATCCAGAGGTCATGAATCCTCCCCCTTCCCAGACTGAAGGCAGTAGCTCAAAGGAAAGGAGTGAATGGATGCAAGTCCGCACTTGGGCAGCAGGTGAAAGCCACTCTTGCCCACTTCTCCCTCCCAGGTGCATCTGTATGTTATAAAAATCTAGCCAATGATTTTTATTATCATTAATATCGAGAGACAATAAGCAAGCAGCACTGGGTGTGCCGGGGAGTCTTTGCTCCGCCCAAGACGCACAAGGGGAACTTCTGGGGATAGTCTGTTATACTTTTTGGTTTCACGGGCTTCTTGGGTTTCAGCCAATCCTGTTGTCTTCTTTTCCCGGGTTTCTTCGGTTTCAGCCAGTCCTGTTGTTTTCTTTTCCCGGGCTTCTTCAGCCAATCCTGTTGTCTTCTTTTCCCGGGCTTCTTCACCTGTTGCTGGGGTCTTGTCTCCGGGTGAAGAAATACTATGTCTGTCACAAGTCTGACCACCATCTTAGCCCCCATAAATTCCACTCCTTATGTGTTTATTTGTTCAGCGCACAGATTTCACAACGTTCTGTAACAGGACATGTCTCTAAGTTACCTACCCCCCTGTTTTCTAAGAACATTCATGTAGTTTAAACAATGAACAAAACATTCCTTTGCACAATATTGCGGTTGACCCAGGGGAATTATTCCCTTGTTTCTTCTTCCTCCTCACTGTGGTATTGACAGGGACACTTAGCATACCCTTTGCACATAGCACAATGATCACAAGGGATTCCATCTCCACACAAAGTGCAATGATCACTAGGACCCCTGAGTTGCTGACACGATGTAACTGACATGTACAACCTCAGCAATATGAGGCTCAGGAACTGAAAGGCCAGTCAGTGGATGGTCAGAAGTCCATCTGCTGCAGAAGTGGTGGCAGGGTCAGAAAAGCATAATCCCCATATTACGATCACCTCTGTGAGGCAGAAAAGATGGGTTGTAGTTGTAGGTGATTCTCTTCTGAGGGGAACAGCGCGGCCACTATGCTAGGCAGACCCCTCTCATGCAGAAGTCTGCTGCCTCCCTGGGGCCCAGGTTAAGGACATTGTCAGGAAACTGCCAGCCTGGTATGGCCCTCGGGCTGCTGCCTGTTAGTGGTCTTCTATGGGGGTGGTGATTACGCTGCGACCCGTAGTCCCAAGTGTGATCAAAAGGGACAGTGGGTAAGGGGGATCTGGGATACAAGTTATTTTATCCTCTCCAGCTGTGGGCAGTGACATTAGATGGACTAGGTGGACTCGGTCCTTTGGTACATGGCTCCATGGCTGGTGACACCTCCACAGTTTGGAGTATTTTGATAATGGGATGGCTTACATGGCACCAGGTTTACTGGTGTCGGATGGGATTCACCCCTCTCAAAGTGGGAAGAGTGTCTTTGCTCATTAAACTACACATGATAAGGGAGGGAGGTGATACTAAGCTTTCCCATGACAAGCTGTGCGACAAACAGTTGGCTTGTGGAAAGGTGAATTTGAGCCATAAAGATTGGAGGTAGGGAGCCAGTGGTAAGAGTTCAGGAGGAAGACAGTGTCCAGAATCTTGACTCCGATTTACTGGCTGCATCAAATTCTCTGCTAGAGCCTGCATTACAGTATATGATGTCTGATGATTCAAACTTTCTTTATTGTCTGTCCCTTTGAAATACTTTTAAGTTTTCCTATATATTCTGTGCATCTTAAAATCAGAATTATTATTCAGCTGCATTCCAGACTTCATGGAATTTTTATGATCTAATCTTCTTTTAAGGTAAAACCAATGTTTTTTTTTTTATTTCAATGATTCTAGCACTGTTCACTGCTGCAAAGTACTGAGCATTGTCTTTCTATTCTGCCCATTTATTTCATAACGAGGTGGATTTGTACTCAGATTTGATGACGCTCCCTTTGTGTACTCTCTGCATACCTTAATAACACTTGTTAATCAAATAGCAATAATACCAGTCCTGGTAAAAGACCTGCTGACTGTGTGATAGTTACTACAGCATTTTCTGTCATTGCTCTAAGCACAAGATTGCTGTGCTGTGACTAAAATTATTTTGGTGGCACCAAAACCACGGAATCTGTTACAGTGTGCACCAATTCAGTCATTTAGAAAATAACGCTGAATTTATACTGAAATAGTGGACATCATAGAAGGCAGCTAGGTTGGTCACACACAACATGCCCCTGGTGAAACCATGCTAGCTGTCTCAAATCACCTCCCTGTCCTGCATACGCAAAGACTATTTTGGAGGCCAGTAATTAGCAGTGTACCCCAGAAGTCAATACTGGGTCCAGTGCTGTTTTAACATCTTCAGGAATGGTCTGGATGGAGGGGTGAGTGTACCCTCAGTAACGGCACACAAAACTGAGAAGAGTGGCAGATACACCAGCAGGTGCCATCCAGATGGATCTCAACAGGCTGGAGAAATGAGCTGACAGGAACATCATGAAGTTCAACAGTAAGAACTGCACAATGCTGTACCTGAGCAGGAAAAGCCCCGGGCACCAATATATCCTAGAAAGCAGCTTGGCAGGACTTGGGGGTCTCGGTGGACATCAGCTTGACCACGAGCCAGCAATGCGCCCTTGCCATAAAGAAAATAAATGATACCCTGGGCTGCATTAAACAAAGGATTTTGAGCAGGCCGAGAGAGGTGACCCTTCACTTCTACTCAGCACTGATAAAGCTACATGTGGAGTCCTGTGCCCAGTTCTGGGCTCCTCAATACAAGAGATGCATGGATGAACCGGAGAGAGTTCACCGAGGACCACAAAAATGAGGAGGGGACTGGATCATCTCTCCTACAAAGAAAGTATGAGAGAGACTAGAAAAAACCAGGTGGCTCGCGAGGATCTTAATAAAGTGTATAAATGTCCAAATGGACGGTGTAAAGAGGACAAAGCCAGGCTCTTCTCAGTGGTGCCCAGTGACGGGACCAGAGACAATGAGCACAGACTGAAGCACAGGAGGTGCCCTCTAAAATGTCAGGAAACTATTTTATTGCGAGAGTGACTGAGCCCTGGCACAGGCACAGGCTGCACAGAGAGGTTGCGAATTGTTCAACTTTGGAGTTATTCAAAAGCTGTCTGGATACAGTCCTGAGCAAATGATTCTGTATGACCATGCTTGAGCAGAGGCACTGGACCAGGTGTCCTGCGGAAGGGACTTCCAACCTTAGTCAATCTGATTCTCAGCTTACTGCCATCCTCTTGCAGCAGACAGCTGACCAGATGCTTTTCTTCCCAGCATTCCTGACAGAGTCTTCCATGGAAAATGAAGCATGTACCAATGAAGTCTCATATCCTTACCAACAAAGGACAGAGGCAGTGGAATTCTCACAAAAAAAAAAAAAAAATCCCCTATCCTGAAGTATGAATTAGCTGTATGACAATGTAACTGTCCACCTGAGCTTGCCTAGTCCCACATTAAATTCAAAGGCAAATGAGGAAAGCGACATGGACGGAGAGCTAAGTACCCAAGCTTTTCCCACAGAGCTGTACCCACTGGAGTCAGGAGAAGATTCCATTGGTTTTCAGGCCTCCTAGACTTAGCAGAGTAGCGGGAACGATGGTGGGAGTGTTGGACTTAGGCTTCAGAGTTTACATCAGTCTGAGAGTAATGGGTGTAGGTCCGCAGCCTTGCAGACTTGCTGCTGAAAACGTGGAGCTGAACTGGGCGAATCTCTCCACGACAAAGACAGATATTTGCATGTGTAGTAGTCAGATAGAAGCTGACTGTGTTTTGTTGTTTCAAGATGGGGAAATGGCGGCTTTCTTAAAGTCGAGCAGAAGACAGAAAGTGAGGGCTGTTCCTGGGAGCATGCATGGGCATGGGGAAGCTGAGCCAACATCCTCCCCTTCACGGCAGTAAGGCTGCTCAGGCCCCATCACCTCATGCAGACTTGGCTGCACCCTGTGCGGGGCCCCACTGGACCCCGTCCCCAGAGTCAAGGTGCTGTGTGAATGGAATGGGCCCGTGCTTTGATGATCATGACCCACAAAAGATTTTGTCAAGGAACTAGGCAAGAAAAGGCAATGGGAATGTTGTCTCCTTTTGGTCACTTAAGAAACATTCCTGTGGTGGAGAGAAAGTGAAAAGCTTGAGGAAGGCCTTGGCCTGCGAAAGGCAGTGGTTGGCAGCTGTGAGAAGGCCACTGACATTGCTGTGCCCCAGACTAACGGCCAATCACTCTCCTCCTTTCTCCATTTTCCTCTTTAATTCTTACTGAAGTGAGTTCCTCACATCTGAAATCTGGCTGATGGCACTGGTTCCATCCACCTTCCCGTGCACCTGCACTCGATAAATACAGGTGTAGCCTGGTTTTCCCCAGTTGCTCTGTACGACAAGCTTCAAGAAATGGAAGTCTCTCATCTCATCCTGCAAAGAACCTAGGGTCACTCCTGGGGTGTTGGGAGCGAAAGCAGGCTCCGCCCGTCTTCCTCTGCCAGCCAGGTCTGGCTCCAGGACCAGCTCCTGCACTGGCTAAGGTGGCAGCTTCTCCCTTCTTCCCCTCTCCCACCCTCGCACCAAAGGACCCCTGCTCCCCTGCAGATCAGAAGCCAGGCCTCAGAGAGCAAGGCAGGTGGCTCTGGAAACCTGAGGCTTGATGGCCCAGAAAATGGGTCCTGGGGAAAATCCTGCTGCACTGTACCTGCAAAGGGAAGGTCTGGATAACCTCTTCCTGTGCAGTGTAGGTGAATGTCCCAAGCGGAGTTTCATCTTTGCCTCCTTCATTCAGTCCCTTGGAGATAAAGCACATGGGAGCAGTTCAGGCTCAACACAGCCACAAGGAAACGCTCATGCCAGATCTGGGAATGTGGTTTCCCTCCAGCTCCTGCAGCTCCAGCACAGTCTGATGCAGGATGCAGTAGGACTGAGTCTCCCCGTCGCGTGTTACTCAAGAGCCTAGAGGTGCTGGGCAGTCATGGCAGTCAGGTGAAGTTCCCAATGACTAGAGAAAGGGAAATATAACCCCCATTTTCAAGAAGGGGAAAATGGATGACCCTGGGAATTACAGACCAGTCAGTCTCACCTCTGTGCCTGGCAAAATCTTGGAGCAGATTCTCCGGGATGGCATGCTAAGGCACATGAAAATCAACAAGGTGCTTGGTGACAGCCAGCATGGCTTCACTAAGGGGAAATCCTGCCTGACCAATTTGGTGGCCTTCTATGATGGGGCTACAGAACTGATGGACAGGGGTAGAGCAGTTGATGTCATCTACCTGGACTTGTGTAAAGCGTTTGACACTGTCCACATGACATCCTTGTCTCTAAATTGGAGAGACATCAATCTGATGGATGGACCACAGGGTGGATAAAGACCTGGCTGGATGGCCGCACACAAAGAGTTGTGGTCAATGGCTCAGTGTCTGGCTGGAGACCAGTAACGAGTGGTGTCCCTGAGGGATCGGTGTTGGGACCGGTCTTGTTTAATATCTTTGTCACTGACATGGACAGTGGGATTGAGTGCGCCCTCAGCAAGTTTGCTGATGACACCAAGCTGTGGTTTGGTTGATACCCTGGAGGGAAGGAATGCCATCCAGAGGGACCTCGACATGCTTGTGAGGTGGGCTGATGCCAACCTCATGAAGTTTAACCATGCCAAGTGCAAGGTCCTACACCTGGGTCGGAGCAATCCCAGGCGCAGCTACAGGTTGGGCAGAGAAGAGATTCAGAGCAGCCCTGCGGAGAAGGACTTGGGGGTGTTGGTCGATGAGAAAATGAACATGGGCCGGCAGTGTGCGCTTGCAGCCCAGAAAGCCAACCGTAACCTGGGCTGCATCAAAAGGAGCGTGACCAGCAGGTCGAAGGAGGTGATCCTGCCCCTCTACTCTGCTCTTGTGAGACCTCACCTGGAGGTGCAGATCTGGTGTCCTCAACATAAAAAGGACATGGAACTGTTGGAACAAGTCCAGAGGAGGGCCATGAGGATGATCAGGGGACTGGAGCACCTCCCGTGTGAAGACAGGCTGAGGAAGTTGGGGCTGTTCAGCCTGGAGAAGAGAAGGCTGCGTGGAGACCTCATAGCAGCCTTCCAGTATCTGAAGGGGGCCTGTAGGGATGCTGGAGAGGGACTCTTCATTAGAGACTGTAGTGATAGGACAAGGGGTAATGGGTTAAAACTTAAAGAGGGGAAGTTTAGGTTGAATATAAGAAGGAAATTCTTTCCTGTTAGGGTGGTGAGGCACTGGAATAGGTTGCCCAGGGAGGTTGTGAATGCTCCATCCCTGGCAGTGTTCAAGACCAGGCTGGACGAGGCCTTGGGTGATCTGACTTAGCGTAAGGTGTCCCTGCCCATGGCAGGGGGGTTGGAACTAGATGATCTTAAGGTCCTTTCCAACCCTAACTGTTCTATGATTCTATGAAAATGCACTGAGCAGGACGTGGGGTGACACCATTCCACATGTCCCTTGAAATGTCCCGTCAGAGGATGGCAGTGCTTGGGAGCACCAGAATCTCAGCAGATGCGCAGAGACCAGCAAGTCCCTGTTACAGCTTTCCCACACAGCCGGGTCGCAGCCCCCCAGGGCTCAGCAGACTCACATAGACTATGAAATTTCGCGGGGCACTGCTGATAGTCCTCAGCGGAGAGTCTGTCTTTAAGGTGTGCTGTACGGTGATGGCCGTTGGTCGTACTTTTGCAGGCAACTGGATTAGCACCTCACTCTCAGACCCTTGGAAAGGCCAGCAGTATCCCGGGGAAGAATCAGGCTGAAAGCAGAGGACAAGAGAATGAAAGTGAGAGTGTGATGTGGCCCACTGCTCTCCTGTGCAGCCAGAACCATAGGCGGCACTGCACCTGTGGGAAAACCTCAAAACGAATGGCATTTGTCCACTTCCCCATAAATGGGAAGTGAATGGAAGTGCCCACTCATCTTCCTAACCGGGCAAAAAGGAAAACAGCTTGTCAGCGGGAAACATCTGATACCTGCACCTGAGTCAGGCCTTTAAAGAAACCTGTCTTTTCGCACAGCAGCTCTGAAGCCTCTCCCCACCCTTCACTGTCCAGTCAGGAGAGGGACAGTCAAGCTGTGGCAGGGAAATGGGGAAATACACAGACATGACCTGGGACGGTGAGCAGGAAGCTCAGCTCAGCACAGCCACTTCTGTGGCCAGCTGCTGTTTTGGAGGGATCCAAGCCCTCTGTGAGACCTCAGGTGTCAGGCACCGGACCCATGCCATGCCCTTGAGCAACACCACTGGCCTGAGGGGAGATAGCCCAGGGCTTGCAACCGACTCTGTAAGAGGCAAGAGAAGCAGCACTGACAGTTTCTGCTACTCTACCTGCACAAAGGTATCCAGAATGGGTGGAATACACAGGAACCAAAACATCCTGCAGAGCCATGCAGAGCTGCTGGATGATCTCTGCAGGTTGATGGCAGCCCCTGGAGGGAGAAGAAAGGAGAGTGCAGGAGGCTCCATGCTCTGAGGACCTGGTGGCTGCAGGCTATTTCTAAGGATGTCTGCCAGCCTCCATATGCAGCACCACACCTTTGTGGGTGCCCCAGGAAAACAAGGTAATCCCCATGCCCGGCGACAGCATTTCTCTCTCAGACACACAACAGGAGGTCTGTGAGTGCTGGGAGACAGCAAACCCCAGGAGACCTGCTCGGTCACAGTCACGCTCTTGCATCCCGTGGTTTTGTTCCGTGTCCCTGTGCCTCAGAGAACCGAGGCTGCCACACAGCCTCCTTTTGGGAGCGCTAAGCAGGAGCTCAGTGCGATGACAGCCCTGCCTTCCTGGGGTCATCCGTACTTGTGCTTTTCACAGCCCAGCCAGACATCTGTGTGATTGCAGACATCCCTTCTCTCAGTTGCTGAGCTTCCTGGGGAAAACACAAACAACCACGTCACAAGCTGGCCAGAAGGGTCTTTACGGTGGAGAAGCACAACCAGCATCCCCCGGCAACGGATGGGGTGTGTGGGCTGAGCAAGAAAAGCCCAGCAGCTGCCCAGGGAGGGCCCGGCCCTCTTTCCCAAAGTGCAGGATCACCTTCTTCACAGTGTTGATCTCTGCAGCCAGGCTTGCCAGTTCATCTCTCAGATGTTGCATGTTGTCCATTTTTTTCCGCGCCAGAGCAAGCATATTTCTGCAGTCAGCGGGAAAGCAGATCTTGTCAGAGAGTTGCCCAGCCCCTCCCAAAGCCTCCAAGCTTGGGAGGAAGAGAGGCAGCAAAGCTCCAGCCTTTTTTTTTCACTTTCCCTGGCTTGTGAATACTTCCTTCCCCTCCAGGTTTAGCAAAAGGCCCAGGCAGGAGCACAAGATACACGCTCTGGGCACTGTGAAAGTGAATGAAAATAGCAGGAGCTCATCTGCCGCTACCCCATGAAACGTGTTGCATGCAGGTCAGGAGAGAGGGGAGGACTCTTACCGAAAGGAATACAGGTCAGCTGCAGGCTCCCCCAGCAGTACCTGAAAGGAAAAGGCTCTCCTGAGTCCCCAGAACTGCCAGGGCTTTCCAGAGTCATGGCAGAAGCTGCGGCTGATTCTCTATGTCACTGCCTGGAACTGGAGGGACTGGGCTATTTACCCATGCACCCACCTCCACCAGTGCTCCTCTGTGGGACTTTACGGTCCCACAGCTGCAGTCACTGACCTGTGGCAGACCTGCTGTCTGCAGCATCCACATCACCGTCGAGGTCCCACAGAAGGCACCAGCTGTAATTCACATCACCAAAAGAGGTATTATATCAGGGTTTCTAATGATCCCTGTAGTCACATGGTCCCCTCCCACAGCAGGATGGCAAGAGGCTGGCTGAGGACATAGGGATGCAGAGAAGGGTTGGTACTACAAGTGGAGACCCTCTCCCCATGCCGGAGGGCTCTGCACACTCCTAGCTTCCAGGTGTGCTTGGAGCCCCACAGCTACAGACCGTATCTCCTCCCATCTGTGGTGAGCATCATAGGCTCTGCACCTGTTTCAGCTGTTGGCTCTGGGGCTGGTTGCATCATGGACATCTCAGAAGCTCCCTGAGCTTCAGACATGGAGGGGTTGGAAGGGCCCCACCAGCACCTCTCTCTCACTCTGAAGCTCGCATTCTCTGCCTCCATGCCTCCACTGGCAACAGGCAAATACTCACCAAAAGCCGCTAGGATCATCAAGAAGAGGACTGTGAAGAGCCTCTTCTTTGTCAAGGGGATGAGCCCTTTCCTGGAAAAGAGGGAGTTTGGCTGGCAGCAATGATCCAGGGCAGAGCCCTGCACATGGGGGATTTTCTCTTACAAGCTGAGGAGCAGTAATCTTGAAGTAGCCAGAAAGCTCCTGGCGGGGAGCACAACCAGCCCCACTTTCCTCCACCAGCCTCCCTATGCTCGCCCTGAGCCCTCCACGCTCCGTGTCCCTGTGTTGTTACTGAGCAGGCGCTGTACTCACATGGTGGCGATCCCTGAGCAAAGGCACCTCTGCAGGAAGACCATGGCCGTTACCACACTGCAGAGCAACCCTGGGCAAAGAAATCAGAGAAAAGCCTCAGGATCCTCCTTGAGTACATGCCAGATAGCTGCAGGCAGGTGGGTGCTGTTCCCACGCAGTCCCTCTCCGGGGGTGAGGCAAGGGCTGTGGCTGTGGCCTCCAGAGGGGAAGCTGAGAGTGTGGAGTGGAAGGCCGGGCAGGATCCCCTTGCAGTCAGGGTACGTATGCCGTACCTGGGGAGGGAGGGTGGCACGAGTCCTGGGGTGCCCCCTAGGAACTACAGTATCCCAGCTCCTTCATCGTCACATAGCCACAGTGAGCCCAGGCAGGAGGATGGTGCTGGTTCTGCAGCGCTGTTGGGCCTGGCCAAGTCGGGCAGGCTTGGTGCAAACATGGGGTGAAAGGCAGCGCTGAACTCACCCTCACTTTCTGCAGCAGGGCAGTGGGCAGACCTTTGCCCTTGGGTGCTCCGAGCCTTCGAACAACTTTGCCTGCTGCGGCTAGCTGTTCTCCCTGGCCAGGCAGCCGCCCGTGCTCGTGGACGAGCCTTCCTCTGCACCATCCTGGTGAGAAATTACGCCTTCTTCAAGCTGCAAGGGTTTGTCTGTGTGGGCAGATGAGCTCCTGAAGACGGCCAAGAGACCGCCTTGCCAGTGGCACTCAGCCTGCAGAACGCTGTGAGTTCCATCTGGGCCCACAGTGCCCAACCTCACAGACTCTCCCCCTGCGTGGTGTGACGTCATAGTGTGGCGTTAGATGAAGCAGTAGGGTGGGTGCAGGGTCCGGGGTGTGTGGAGAAAGACTCCACAGCTCACTTGGTGGTGTGTTTTGCATATCCTACACCTTCCTGGGGCAGGATGTACCCTAGAGGTGAGCAGTGGGTCCAGTGTTGTGGAACAGGATTCCTGCCCCTCCTAGAGAACTGCGCCCAGGTCTCCACTCCGCAGTACAGGAAGGATGCAGAGCTACTGGAAAGAGTTCAACAACGAGCCAGTAAGATGGCAAAGAGACTGGAGCACGTCTCATACGAGGAAAGGTTGAGCTTGGACTGTGAGCAGGAAGCTCGGCTCAGCACAGCCACTTCTGCGGCCAGCTGCTGTTTTGGAGGGATCCAAGCCCTCTGTGAGACCTCAGGTGTCAGGCACCGGACCCATGCCATGCCCTTGAGCAACACCACTGGCCTGAGGGGAGATAGCCCAGGGCTTGCAACCAACTCTGTACAGAGTATTTTTTATCTCAATCATTCTAGCACTGTTCACTGCTGGAAAGTACTGAGTATTGTCTTTCTATTCTGCCCATTTATTTCATAACTGGTGAGGTGGATTTGTACTCAGATTTGATGACGCTCCCTTTGTGCACCTCAGCAAAATGCGTACTCTGTGCATACCTTAATAACACTTGTTAATCAAATAGCAATAATAATACCAATCCTGGTGGAAGACCTGCTGACTGTGTGATAGTTACTACAGCATTTTCTGTCACTGCTCTAAGCACAAGATTGCTCTCTCAGACACACAACAGGAGGTCTGTGAGTGCTGGGAGACAGCAAACCCCATGAGACCTGCCCAGTCACAGTCATGCTCTTGGGTCCTGTGTTTTTTTCCATGGGGAGCGCTGAGCAGGAGCCCAGTGTGGTGACAGCCTGCCCTGCCTTTGTCCATCTGTACCTATGTTTTTCAGAGCCCAGCCAGACATCTGTGTGATTACAGACATTGTGTCTCTCATTTGCTGAACTTCCCTGGGAAAGACATGTACAATCACATCACGAGCCAGACAGAAAGATCTTTACAGTGGAGAAGCTCAACCAGCATCCCCTGGCAAAGGATGGGTGTGCGGGTTGAGCAGAAAAAGCCCATGAGCTGGCGCAGGCTGGATGTGGTTCTGTGCAACCTGATCTATTCGGAGATGTCCCTGCTCATCCCCTGCAGGGAGGCTGGGACTAGATGGCTTTTGAAGGTCCCTTCCAACCTAAACCATTCCGTGATTCTATGAAGCACTAGAGTGAAAATAATGTAAATATAGATAAGGTATGATTATCGATAGTAATCTTTATCTGGTGTCTGCCTGATGTGACCAAGGATTATGCTCAGGATTTAACCAGCTATCAGGTTTGGGATAAAGAAGTAATCCAAACGGGTCCCTTTTAGATCAGGAAATAGAGATTTTTGAGACCTGTTCTTTCTGCTCAGTTCCTATGTTTCTTTATAGAGAATGTTTTTCATTTGGCTATAACTTTTCTCTGGGCTATTGAGAGGTGCTGTGAGTTCTATGATGACACACAGAATAGAAATCCTATAGACAGTCATCTAGGCTCAGCCTTCTTTACAGTTTTTTTTTACTGCAGGAACTGAACTTGGCTATGCCTGTGATGTTCTCCAGTCTTACTCTTTTAAAACTGACTTTTTACTGTCTTACTGACTTGGTGCCACCACTGGCTCTACTGTTACACCTAAGATTATCATTAAATCCTCATTTACTTATCTTAAATTTCTAGTCACAGTGTTTATTAATTTGGTTGTTATGATAGCTTCAGAACAGCGGTTTTGTTTAGCTGTAGAAAGCACTGTACCTTATTACCAGGCCTGTGATATTTGAGTCTTTCATCTGACATGAATTGAAGAATTTATTCATGCTGCTTTCCTGTGAATCATTTTAATAGCATTTATTCTCTTGTAAATTAAATGGCTGCAGAAATGAGAAGTTGTCGTTCCCTCCCCATCCTTCTCCTTCATGTGCCTCCTGTGAAGCAAAGCTAGGTATAACTGTAGTGCACTTTAACAACTAGATATAGTATGGTAACTCTGGTTTACCTACTACTTCACTGGGCACATGAGAGGTGATCTCTGCCATTGTAGATGCCTGCTATCCTCTTACTTTAATCATGATTACTGATGATCTGTATTTCACTTAACTAACTAAACCTTCCGAGCAATAAGTCTAAGTGATGTTCCATTTTCATTTCTGTGTGGATATTGTCCAGCCTCTTTGAGCTCAATGACTAAAAATCTGTGGAAGCTAAATAGCTGGTGCAGTGCTCTTTCTTAAGTCCCAGGACTGTGATTTCATTTACTCACCTTGGCTCACACCAGAAATTCAGTCTATGTAAGAAGAATTCTGTGTTCATACACAAATCCTTAGTGCTGTTTTTTTTTTTTTAAATAAAGTTATATAAATATAATAGTGCTGTTATTGTTTTTAAAAATAATTCAAAAAATCTCTGTGTAATTACTCTGACAGTAGACACAGAGGGGTGAAAACAAGAATTCTGTTATATTTGTGGCTCATTACATGACATTGTTTCAGCTCTCTTGACCAGTGGAGGCAAAAAGCGAAGTTCACTATAGATATTTCTTGCAATATCTCCAGTTTTATTTAAAGAACTTTAACATGCAGTCATGACTGGATACATGAGAAGACTTTTGATAATATTTCTTGCTCTCACTGAAGGATGCAGAGCTACTGGAAAGAGTTCAACAATGAGCCAGTAAGATGGCAAAGAGACTGGAGCATGTCTCATACGAGGAAAGGTTGAGCTTGGACTGTTCAACCTGGAGAAGAGAAGGTACAGGGGGGGGGAATCTTGCTAATGTTTGTGAAGACCTGAAAGGAGGATGCAAAGAGGACAGAGCCCGCACTTTTCAGTAGTGCCCAGTGACAGAACCAGAGGCAAAGTGCAACACAGGAGTCTCCGTCTGAACAACAGGAAACACTTTTTCGGAGTGAGGGTGACCGAGCACTGGCATGGGCTCCCCAGGGAGATTGTGGAGTCTCCATCCCTGGAGACATTCAACAGCCTCGACAGTGGTCCTAGGCAACCAGCTCTAGGTGAGCCTTCCTGACTAGGGTGTTTAGACCACATACCCTCCCAGAGGCCTTTTCAGACCTCAAGCAGTCTGTGGCCCCATGATTTCACTTCAAAGGCAGTCTTCTAGTAGGAATTGCGTTTTAATACTTTTCTTAGTTTTCAACTTGCGAAGTATGAACTAAGGTCACTATTTTAAAATGCTCAGTTTGTACCCCATCTTTAAGTCACCCAAGTTTCCACTCTGTTGAGCTGATGTGGTACGGAAGAGATTTCAGTTCGTATACACGGGAATTTCTCTATCATGAATTTCTCCCTTGTGTTCCTCCTAGGTCAGTAACAGATTTACTGACTCATGCTGGGCCCCCTCTATCTCTAACAGCCTTTTTCACAGCAGCTAGCATAGGCATGTGGCATAGATTGTTATATTCTTGAGTATGGCCAGTCGCTGAAGCTGTTCCTTGAAACGGAACTGCAGAGACCTGTGCCTAATACCCAAGCCCTACTCAGTTGACCTTTATCATTCCGCTGAAATACCTGAATGAGAGCTGACCTTGGTTTTCTGCCAGGAATTGCATTTTAATTTTTATCATTCTTTTACGTTTGCTTGGGCAAATATCTAACAACCAAGGGACTGCTTGTGTTATTCCCCCCCCCCCAGCATGGACTAGAAGATGTTAATTGCTTTGGTTGACAGTCATGAGAATGCATGAGTAACATTTATTAGTGCAAACGTATAACCGCAGAACCAGATGCTAGAAATAAGGTTGTGACGTAAGTGTGAAAGTGGGCAACTGGAGTTGAAGGAGAAAGTGACCAAAGTATTCTGGTGATAGGAACTTGCTTTTGAGAGGCCAGTGTATTGTAGCTGCAAAAAAATCCCTCACATCAACAGACATTTTTATGAAGTCAGGAAAGCACTATTAATATTTTATATCATACAGTTGTCATCATGTGTGTTACAAAAACTGAAATGGAAACAGGTGCATAGAAGGGCTAACGTAAAGAATTGAAAACCAGGATATCTACAAAGATTAAATGTCCATTTTTCCTTTTTTCTTGAATAATGACATACAATGATAAGTATGTGTATCAAATGGTTATGCATTAGTTACTGAGAAATTAATCATAACTCAACCCTAAAATACTGAATCAGCTACTGCTAGTTTTATTTCCCACCACCTGAGAAGTACTGTAACATTTTTTGAAGTAGGACAGATGAGCCGAACTGAGGTTTTAGGTGTGTGAGTACACCGTATTCCCAAAGGCGTTTGAAAAGAGCCTGCATTCCCGTTCCTTCGCAGTCTGGCTTTGCTGTACTAATACGTGCTTCGAATTTCCCGCTACCTTCTATTTCCTTGCCAAGGGAAGACGACTCTTTTCTCCTCCCTCCCACTCTACATCCCTGTCTCGCCCCCCTCAGTGACCACTTAAAAAGACCGCTTTCTTAGCACTGCTGCTCCTCGGGAGCCCTCCTTCTCTTCAGTGCCGCTACGCCCCCTACCGCACACAGGGCTACCGAACACGGCCAAGACCCGACAGCTCTCGCGGGAGTCGCTGGCGAGATCTGGGCGTTGCCCGAGCAACGGCGGCCACGCCTTGGGCCCCTTTCTCCGGCCACGTACGCAAAGCGGTCTGAGGAGCGCGGCTGCGCTGAGCGGTTGGGGGCCCTGCCCAGCTCCATGGATGGCTCTGAGGCCCTCACCCTCACCGAGAAGCCTGTGCGTGGCCCCCAGGGGTGCAGAGTGACTTGATCTGCTCTCCTCGGGAGGGATGGAGGAACCCGTGCGGGGCTGACAGGAAGACGTGCAGCCGCCCAGGTCTCGTGCTGCAGGGAATGACAGGGCCTTTCTCTGGTAGCGAATGGCAGCAGAGACAGGGGCTGTGTCACATGTGACCGTGTGGACGATCTGCTCAGCCTGGGGGCAGACCTAAAAGAAGTAGTAGGAAGGTTAAGAAGCATCAGGGAGTCTGAGAAGGATATAGGCTTGTGGAACCAGGCTCTGGCCTCACTGAGAGAAAAAAAAACCCAAGATCCAGAGGTCATGAATCCTCCCCCTTCCCAGACTGAAGGCAGTAGCTCAAAGGAAAGGAGTGAATGGATGCAAGTCCGCACTTGGGCAGCAGGTGAAAGCCACTCTTGCCCACTTCTCCCTCCCAGGTGCATCTGTATGTTATAAAAATCTAGCCAATGATTTTTATTATCATTAATATCGAGAGACAATAAGCAAGCAGCACTGGGTGTGCCGGGGAGTCTTTGCTCCGCCCAAGACGCACAAGGGGAACTTCTGGGGATAGTCTGTTATACTTTTTGGTTTCACGGGCTTCTTGGGTTTCAGCCAATCCTGTTGTCTTCTTTTCCCGGGTTTCTTCGGTTTCAGCCAGTCCTGTTGTTTTCTTTTCCCGGGCTTCTTCAGCCAATCCTGTTGTCTTCTTTTCCCGGGCTTCTTCACCTGTTGCTGGGGTCTTGTCTCCGGGTGAAGAAATACTATGTCTGTCACAAGTCTGACCACCATCTTAGCCCCCATAAATTCCACTCCTTATGTGTTTATTTGTTCAGCGCACAGATTTCACAACGTTCTGTAACAGGACATGTCTCTAAGTTACCTACCCCCCTGTTTTCTAAGAACATTCATGTAGTTTAAACAATGAACAAAACATTCCTTTGCACAATATTGCGGTTGACCCAGGGGAATTATTCCCTTGTTTCTTCTTCCTCCTCACTGTGGTATTGACAGGGACACTTAGCATACCCTTTGCACATAGCACAATGATCACAAGGGATTCCATCTCCACACAAAGTGCAATGATCACTAGGACCCCTGAGTTGCTGACACGATGTAACTGACATGTACAACCTCAGCAATATGAGGCTCAGGAACTGAAAGGCCAGTCAGTGGATGGTCAGAAGTCCATCTGCTGCAGAAGTGGTGGCAGGGTCAGAAAAGCATAATCCCCATATTACGATCACCTCTGTGAGGCAGAAAAGATGGGTTGTAGTTGTAGGTGATTCTCTTCTGAGGGGAACAGCGCGGCCACTATGCTAGGCAGACCCCTCTCATGCAGAAGTCTGCTGCCTCCCTGGGGCCCAGGTTAAGGACATTGTCAGGAAACTGCCAGCCTGGTATGGCCCTCGGGCTGCTGCCTGTTAGTGGTCTTCTATGGGGGTGGTGATTACGCTGCGACCCGTAGTCCCAAGTGTGATCAAAAGGGACAGTGGGTAAGGGGGATCTGGGATACAAGTTATTTTATCCTCTCCAGCTGTGGGCAGTGACATTAGATGGACTAGGTGGACTCGGTCCTTTGGTACATGGCTCCATGGCTGGTGACACCTCCACAGTTTGGAGTATTTTGATAATGGGATGGCTTACATGGCACCAGGTTTACTGGTGTCGGATGGGATTCACCCCTCTCAAAGTGGGAAGAGTGTCTTTGCTCATTAAACTACACATGATAAGGGAGGGAGGTGATACTAAGCTTTCCCATGACAAGCTGTGCGACAAACAGTTGGCTTGTGGAAAGGTGAATTTGAGCCATAAAGATTGGAGGTAGGGAGCCAGTGGTAAGAGTTCAGGAGGAAGACAGTGTCCAGAATCTTGACTCCGATTTACTGGCTGCATCAAATTCTCTGCTAGAGCCTGCATTACAGTATATGATGTCTGATGATTCAAACTTTCTTTATTGTCTGTCCCTTTGAAATACTTTTAAGTTTTCCTATATATTCTGTGCATCTTAAAATCAGAATTATTATTCAGCTGCATTCCAGACTTCATGGAATTTTTATGATCTAATCTTCTTTTAAGGTAAAACCAATGTTTTTTTTTTTATTTCAATGATTCTAGCACTGTTCACTGCTGCAAAGTACTGAGCATTGTCTTTCTATTCTGCCCATTTATTTCATAACTAATGAGGTGGATTTGTACTCAGATTTGATGACGCTCCCTTTGTGTACTCTCTGCATACCTTAATAACACTTGTTAATCAAATAGCAATAATACCAGTCCTGGTAAAAGACCTGCTGACTGTGTGATAGTTACTACAGCATTTTCTGTCATTGCTCTAAGCACAAGATTGCTGTGCTGTGACTAAAATTATTTTGGTGGCACCCAAACCCACGGAATCTGTTACAGTGTGCACCAATTCAGTCATTTAGAAAATAACGCTGAATTTATACTGAATAGTGGACATCATAGAAGGCAGCTAGGTTGGTCACACACAACATGCCCCTGGTGAAAACCATGCTAGCTGTCTCAAATCACCTCCCTGTCCTGCATACGCAAAGACTATTTTGGAGGCCAGTAATTAGCAGTGTACCCCAGAAGTCAATACTGGGTCCAGTGCTGTTTTAACATCTTCAGGAATGGTCTGGATGGAGGGGTGAGTGTACCCTCAGTAACGGCACACAAAACTGAGAAGAGTGGCAGATACACCAGCAGGTGCCATCCAGATGGATCTCAACAGGCTGGAGAAATGAGCTGACAGGAACATCATGAAGTTCAACAGTAAGAACTGCACAATGCTGTACCTGAGCAGGAAAAGCCCCGGGCACCAATATATCCTAGAAAGCAGCTTGGCAGGACTTGGGGGTCTCGGTGGACATCAGCTTGACCACGAGCCAGCAATGCGCCCTTGCCATAAAGAAAATAAATGATACCCTGGGCTGCATTAAACAAAGGATTTTGAGCAGGCCGAGAGAGGTGACCCTTCACTTCTACTCAGCACTGATAAAGCTACATGTGGAGTCCTGTGCCCAGTTCTGGGCTCCTCAATACAAGAGATGCATGGATGAACCGGAGAGAGTTCACCGAGGACCACAAAAATGAGGAGGGACTGGATCATCTCTCCTACAAAGAAAGTATGAGAGAGACTAGAAAAAACCAGGTGGCTCGCGAGGATCTTAATAAAGTGTATAAATGTCCAAATGGACGGTGTAAAGAGGACAAAGCCAGGCTCTTCTCAGTGGTGCCCAGTGACGGGACCAAGAGACAATGAGCACAGACTGAAGCACAGGAGGTGCCCTCTAAAATGTCAGGAAACTATTTTATTGCGAGAGTGACTGAGCCCTGGCACAGGCACAGGCTGCACAGAGAGGTTGCGAATTGTTCAACTTTGGAGTTATTCAAAAGCTGTCTGGATACAGTCCTGAGCAAATGATTCTGTATGACCATGCTTGAGCAGAGGCACTGGACCAGGTGTCCTGCGGAAGGGACTTCCAACCTTAGTCAATCTGATCTCAGCTTACTGCCATCCTCTTGCAGCAGACAGCTGACCAGATGCTTTTCTTCCCAGCATTCCTGACAGAGTCTTCCATGGAAAATGAAGCATGTACCAATGAAGTCTCATATCCTTACCAACAAAGGACAGAGGCAGTGGAATTCTCACAAAAAAAAAAAAAAAAATCCCCTATCCTGAAGTATGAATTAGCTGTATGACAATGTAACTGTCCACCTGAGCTTGCCTAGTCCCACATTAAATTCAAAGGCAAATGAGGAAAGCGACATGGACGGAGAGCTAAGTACCCAAGCTTTTCCCACAGAGCTGTACCCACTGGAGTCAGGAGAAGATTCCATTGGTTTTCAGGCCTCCTAGACTTAGCAGAGTAGCGGGAACGATGGTGGGAGTGTTGGACTTAGCTTCAGAGTTTACATCAGTCTGAGAGTAATGGGTGTAGGTCCGCAGCCTTGCAGACTTGCTGCTGAAAACGTGGAGCTGAACTGGGCGAATCTCTCCACGACAAAGACAGATATTTGCATGTGTAGTAGTCAGATAGAAGCTGACTGTGTTTTAGTTGTTTCAAGATGGGGAAATGGCGGCTTTCTTAAAGTCGAGCAGAAGACAGAAAGCGAGGGCTGTTCCTGGGAGCATGCATGGGCATGGGGAAGCTGAGCCAACATCCTCCCCTTCACGGCAGTAAGGCTGCTCAGGCCCCATCACCTCATGCAGACTTGGCTGCACCCTGTGCGGGGCCCCACTGGACCCCGTCCCCAGAGTCAAGGTGCTGTGTGAATGGAATGGGCCCGTGCTTTGATGATCATGACCCACAAAAGATTTTGTCAAGGAACTAGGCAAGAAAAGGCAATGGGAATGTTGTCTCCTTTTGGTCACTTAAGAAACATTCCTGTGGTGGAGAGAAAGTGAAAAGCTTGAGGAAGGCCTTGGCCTGCGAAAGGCAGTGGTTGGCAGCTGTGAGAAGGCCACTGACATTGCTGTGCCCCAGACTAACGGCCAATCACTCTCCTCCTTTCTCCATTTTCCTCTTTAATTCTTACTGAAGTGAGTTCCTCACATCTGAAATCTGGCTGATGGCACTGGTTCCATCCACCTTCCCGTGCACCTGCACTCGATAAATACAGGTGTAGCCTGGTTTTCCCCAGTTGCTCTGTACGACAAGCTTCAAGAAATGGAAGTCTCTCATCTCATCCTGCAAAGAACCCAGGGTCACTCCTGGGGTGTTGGGAGCGAAAGCAGGCTCCGCCCGTCTTCCTCTGCCAGCCAGGTCTGGCTCCAGGACCAGCTCCTGCACTGGCTAAGGTGGCAGCTTCTCCCTTCTTCCCCTCTCCCACCCTCGCACCAAAGGACCCCTGCTCCCCTGCAGATCAGAAGCCAGGCCTCAGAGAGCAAGGCAGGTGGCTCTGGAAACCTGAGGCTTGATGGCCCAGAAAATGGGTCCTGGGGAAAATCCTGCTGCACTGTACCTGCAAAGGGAAGGTCTGGATAACCTCTTCCTGTGCAGTGTAGGTGAATGTCCCAAGCGGAGTTTCATCTTTGCCTCCTTCATTCAGTCCCTTGGAGATAAAGCACATGGGAGCAGTTCAGGCTCAACACAGCCACAAGGAAACGCTCATGCCAGATCTGGGAATGTGGTTTCCCTCCAGCTCCTGCAGCTCCAGCACAGTCTGATGCAGGATGCAGTAGGACTGAGTCTCCCCGTCGCGTGTTACTCAAGAGCCTAGAGGTGCTGGGCAGTCATGGCAGTCAGGTGAAGTTCCCAATGACTAGAGAAAGGGAAATATAACCCCCATTTTCAAGAAGGGGAAAATGGATGACCCTGGGAATTACAGACCAGTCAGTCTCACCTCTGTGCCTGGCAAAATCTTGGAGCAGATTCTCCGGGATGGCATGCTAAGGCACATGAAAATCAACAAGGTGCTTGGTGACAGCCAGCATGGCTTCACTAAGGGGAAATCCTGCCTGACCAATTTGGTGGCCTTCTATGATGGGGCTACAGAACTGATGGACAGGGGTAGAGCAGTTGATGTCATCTACCTGGACTTGTGTAAAGCGTTTGACACTGTCCACATGACATCCTTGTCTCTAAATTGGAGAGACATCAATCTGATGGATGGACCACAGGGTGGATAAAGACCTGGCTGGATGGCCGCACACAAAGAGTTGTGGTCAATGGCTCAGTGTCTGGCTGGAGACCAGTAACGAGTGGTGTCCCTGAGGGATCGGTGTTGGGACCGGTCTTGTTTAATATCTTTGTCACTGACATGGACAGTGGGATTGAGTGCGCCCTCAGCAAGTTTGCTGATGACACCAAGCTGTGGTTTGGTTGATACCCTGGAGGGAAGGAATGCCATCCAGAGGGACCTCGACATGCTTGTGAGGTGGGCTGATGCCAACCTCATGAAGTTTAACCATGCCAAGTGCAAGGTCCTACACCTGGGTCGGAGCAATCCCAGGCGCAGCTACAGGTTGGGCAGAGAAGAGATTCAGAGCAGCCCTGCGGAGAAGGACTTGGGGGTGTTGGTCGATGAGAAAATGAACATGGGCCGGCAGTGTGCGCTTGCAGCCCAGAAAGCCAACCGTAACCTGGGCTGCATCAAAAGGAGCGTGACCAGCAGGTCGAAGGAGGTGATCCTGCCCCTCTACTCTGCTCTTGTGAGACCTCACCTGGAGGTGCAGATCTGGTGTCCTCAACATAAAAAGGACATGGAACTGTTGGAACAAGTCCAGAGGAGGGCCATGAGGATGATCAGGGGACTGGAGCACCTCCCGTGTGAAGACAGGCTGAGGAAGTTGGGGCTGTTCAGCCTGGAGAAGAGAAGGCTGCGTGGAGACCTCATAGCAGCCTTCCAGTATCTGAGGGGGCCTGTAGGGATGCTGGAGAGGGACTCTTCATTAGAGACTGTAGTGATAGGACAAGGGGTAATGGGTTAAAACTTAAAGAGGGGAAGTTTAGGTTGAATATAAGAAGGAAATTCTTTCCTGTTAGGGTGGTGAGGCACTGGAATAGGTTGCCCAGGGAGGTTGTGAATGCTCCATCCCTGGCAGTGTTCAAGACCAGGCTGGACGAGGCCTTGGGTGATCTGACTTAGCGTAAGGTGTCCCTGCCCATGGCAGGGGGGTTGGAACTAGATGATCTTAAGGTCCTTTCCAACCCTAACTGTTCTATGATTCTATGAAAATGCACTGAGCAGGACGTGGGGTGACACCATTCCACATGTCCCTTGAAATGTCCCGTCAGAGGATGGCAGTGCTTGGGAGCACCAGAATCTCAGCAGATGCGCAGAGACCAGCAAGTCCCTGTTACAGCTTTCCCACACAGCCGGGTCGCAGCCCCCCAGGGCTCAGCAGACTCACATAGACTATGAAATTTCGCGGGGCACTGCTGATAGTCCTCAGCGGAGAGTCTGTCTTTAAGGTGTGCTGTACGGTGATGGCCGTTGGTCGTACTTTTGCAGGCAACTGGATTAGCACCTCACTCTCAGACCCTTGGAAAGGCCAGCAGTATCCCGGGGAAGAATCAGGCTGAAAGCAGAGGACAAGAGAATGAAAGTGAGAGTGTGATGTGGCCCACTGCTCTCCTGTGCAGCCAGAACCATAGGCGGCACTGCACCTGTGGGAAAACCTCAAAACGAATGGCATTTGTCCACTTCCCCATAAATGGGAAGTGAATGGAAGTGCCCACTCATCTTCCTAACCGGGCAAAAAGGAAAACAGCTTGTCAGCGGGAAACATCTGATACCTGCACCTGAGTCAGGCCTTTAAAGAAACCTGTCTTTTCGCACAGCAGCTCTGAAGCCTCTCCCCACCCTTCACTGTCCAGTCAGGAGAGGGACAGTCAAGCTGTGGCAGGGAAATGGGGAAATACACAGACATGACCTGGGACGGTGAGCAGGAAGCTCAGCTCAGCACAGCCACTTCTGTGGCCAGCTGCTGTTTTGGAGGGATCCAAGCCCTCTGTGAGACCTCAGGTGTCAGGCACCGGACCCATGCCATGCCCTTGAGCAACACCACTGGCCTGAGGGGAGATAGCCCAGGGCTTGCAACCGACTCTGTAAGAGGCAAGAGAAGCAGCACTGACAGTTTCTGCTACTCTACCTGCACAAAGGTATCCAGAATGGGTGGAATACACAGGAACCAAAACATCCTGCAGAGCCATGCAGAGCTGCTGGATGATCTCTGCAGGTTGATGGCAGCCCCTGGAGGGAGAAGAAAGGAGAGTGCAGGAGGCTCCATGCTCTGAGGACCTGGTGGCTGCAGGCTATTTCTAAGGATGTCTGCCAGCCTCCATATGCAGCACCACACCTTTGTGGGTGCCCCAGGAAAACAAGGTAATCCCCATGCCCGGCGACAGCATTTCTCTCTCAGACACACAACAGGAGGTCTGTGAGTGCTGGGAGACAGCAAACCCCAGGAGACCTGCTCGGTCACAGTCACGCTCTTGCATCCCGTGGTTTTGTTCCGTGTCCCTGTGCCTCAGAGAACCGAGGCTGCCACACAGCCTCCTTTTGGGAGCGCTAAGCAGGAGCTCAGTGCGATGACAGCCCTGCCTTCCTGGGGTCATCCGTACTTGTGCTTTTCACAGCCCAGCCAGACATCTGTGTGATTGCAGACATCCTTCTCTCAGTTGCTGAGCTTCCTGGGGAAAACACAAACAACCACGTCACAAGCTGGCCAGAAGGGTCTTTACGGTGGAGAAGCACAACCAGCATCCCCCGGCAACGGATGGGGTGTGTGGGCTGAGCAAGAAAAGCCCAGCAGCTGCCCAGGGAGGGCCCGGCCCTCTTTCCCAAAGTGCAGGATCACCTTCTTCACAGTGTTGATCTCTGCAGCCAGGCTTGCCAGTTCATCTCTCAGATGTTGCATGTTGTCCATTTTTTTCCGCGCCAGAGCAAGCATATTTCTGCAGTCAGCGGGAAAAGCAGATCTTGTCAGAGAGTTGCCCAGCCCCTCCCAAAGCCTCCAAGCTTGGGAGGAAGAGAGGCAGCAAAGCTCCAGCCTTTTTTTTTCACTTTCCCTGGCTTGTGAATACTTCCTTCCCCTCCAGGTTTAGCAAAAGGCCCAGGCAGGAGCACAAGATACACGCTCTGGGCACTGTGAAAGTGAATGAAAATAGCAGGAGCTCATCTGCCACTACCCCATGAAACGTGTTGCATGCAGGTCAGGAGAGAGGGGAGGACTCTTACCGAAAGGAATACAGGTCAGCTGCAGGCTCCCCCAGCAGTACCTGAAAGGAAAAGGCTCTCCTGAGTCCCCAGAACTGCCAGGGCTTTCCAGAGTCATGGCAGAAGCTGCGGCTGATTCTCTATGTCACTGCCTGGAACTGGAGGGACTGGGCTATTTACCCATGCACCCACCTCCACCAGTGCTCCTCTGTGGGACTTTACGGTCCCACAGCTGCAGTCACTGACCTGTGGCAGACCTGCTGTCTGCAGCATCCACATCACCGTCGAGGTCCCACAGAAGGCACCAGCTGTAATTCACATCACCAAAAGAGGTATTATATCAGGGTTTCTAATGATCCCTGTAGTCACATGGTCCCCTCCCACAGCAGGATGGCAAGAGGCTGGCTGAGGACATAGGGATGCAGAGAAGGGTTGGTACTACAAGTGGAGACCCTCTCCCCATGCCGGAGGGCTCTGCACACTCCTAGCTTCCAGGTGTGCTTGGAGCCCCACAGCTACAGACCGTATCTCCTCCCATCTGTGGTGAGCATCATAGGCTCTGCACCTGTTTCAGCTGTTGGCTCTGGGGCTGGTTGCATCATGGACATCTCAGAAGCTCCCTGAGCTTCAGACATGGAGGGGTTGGAAGGGCCCCACCAGCACCTCTCTCTCACTCTGAAGCTCGCATTCTCTGCCTCCATGCCTCCACTGGCAACAGGCAAATACTCACCAAAAGCCGCTAGGATCATCAAGAAGAGGACTGTGAAGAGCCTCTTCTTTGTCAAGGGGATGAGCCCTTTCCTGGAAAAGAGGGAGTTTGGCTGGCAGCAATGATCCAGGGCAGAGCCCTGCACATGGGGGATTTTCTCTTACAAGCTGAGGAGCAGTAATCTTGAAGTAGCCAGAAAGCTCCTGGCGGGGAGCACAACCAGCCCCACTTTCCTCCACCAGCCTCCCTATGCTCGCCCTGAGCCCTCCACGCTCCGTGTCCCTGTGTTGTTACTGAGCAGGCGCTGTACTCACATGGTGGCGATCCCTGAGCAAAGGCACCTCTGCAGGAAGACCATGGCCGTTACCACACTGCAGAGCAACCCTGGGCAAAGAAATCAGAGAAAAGCCTCAGGATCCTCCTTGAGTACATGCCAGATAGCTGCAGGCAGGTGGGTGCTGTTCCCACGCAGTCCCTCTCCGGGGGTGAGGCAAGGGCTGTGGCTGTGGCCTCCAGAGGGGAAGCTGAGAGTGTGGAGTGGAAGGCCGGGCAGGATCCCCTTGCAGTCAGGGTACGTATGCCGTACCTGGGGAGGGAGGGTGGCACGAGTCCTGGGGTGCCCCCTAGGAACTACAGTATCCCAGCTCCTTCATCGTCACATAGCCACAGTGAGCCCAGGCAGGGAGGATGGTGCTGGTTCTGCAGCGCTGTTGGGCCTGGCCAAGTCGGGCAGGCTTGGTGCAAACATGGGGTGAAAGGCAGCGCTGAACTCACCCTCACTTTCTGCAGCAGGGCAGTGGGCAGACCTTTGCCCTTGGGTGCTCCGAGCCTTCGAACAACTTTGCCTGCTGCGGCTAGCTGTTCTCCCTGGCCAGGCAGCCGCCCGTGCTCGTGGACGAGCCTTCCTCTGCACCATCCTGGTGAGAAATTACGCCTTCTTCAAGCTGCAAGGGTTTGTCTGTGTGGGCAGATGAGCTCCTGAAGACGGCCCAAGAGACACTTGCCAGTGGCACTCAGCCTGCAGAACGCTGTGAGTTCCATCTGGGCCCACAGTGCCCAACCTCACAGACTCTCCCCCTGCGTGGTGTGACGTCATAGTGTGGCGTTAGATGAAGCAGTAGGGTGGGTGCAGGGTCCGGGGTGTGTGGAGAAAGACTCCACAGCTCACTTGGTGGTGTGTTTTGCATATCCTACACCTTCCTGGGGCAGGATGTACCCTAGAGGTGAGCAGTGGGTCCAGTGTTGTGGAACAGGATTCCTGCCCCTCCTAGAGAACTGCGCCCAGGTCTCCACTCCGCAGTACAGGAAGGATGCAGAGCTACTGGAAAGAGTTCAACAACGAGCCAGTAAGATGGCAAAGAGACTGGAGCACGTCTCATACGAGGAAAGGTTGAGCTTGGACTGTGAGCAGGAAGCTCGGCTCAGCACAGCCACTTCTGCGGCCAGCTGCTGTTTTGGAGGGATCCAAGCCCTCTGTGAGACCTCAGGTGTCAGGCACCGGACCCATGCCATGCCCTTGAGCAACACCACTGGCCTGAGGGGAGATAGCCCAGGGCTTGCAACCAACTCTGTACAGAGTATTTTTTATCTCAATCATTCTAGCACTGTTCACTGCTGGAAAGTACTGAGTATTGTCTTTCTATTCTGCCCATTTATTTCATAACTGGTGAGGTGGATTTGTACTCAGATTTGATGACGCTCCCTTTGTGCACCTCAGCAAAATGCGTACTCTGTGCATACCTTAATAACACTTGTTAATCAAATAGCAATAATAATACCAATCCTGGTGGAAGACCTGCTGACTGTGTGATAGTTACTACAGCATTTTCTGTCACTGCTCTAAGCACAAGATTGCTCTCTCAGACACACAACAGGAGGTCTGTGAGTGCTGGGAGACAGCAAACCCCATGAGACCTGCCCAGTCACAGTCATGCTCTTGGGTCCTGTGTTTTTTTCCATGGGGAGCGCTGAGCAGGAGCCCAGTGTGGTGACAGCCTGCCCTGCCTTTGTCCATCTGTACCTATGTTTTTCAGAGCCCAGCCAGACATCTGTGTGATTACAGACATTGTGTCTCTCATTTGCTGAACTTCCCTGGGAAAGACATGTACAATCACATCACGAGCCAGACAGAAAGATCTTTACAGTGGAGAAGCTCAACCAGCATCCCCTGGCAAAGGATGGGTGTGCGGGTTGAGCAGAAAAAGCCCATGAGCTGGCGCAGGCTGGATGTGGTTCTGTGCAACCTGATCTATTCGGAGATGTCCCTGCTCATCCCCTGCAGGGAGGCTGGGACTAGATGGCTTTTGAAGGTCCCTTCCAACCTAAACCATTCCGTGATTCTATGAAGCACTAGAGTGAAAATAATGTAAATATAGATAAGGTATGATTATCGATAGTAATCTTTATCTGGTGTCTGCCTGATGTGACCAAGGATTATGCTCAGGATTTAACCAGCTATCAGGTTTGGGATAAAGAAGTAATCCAAACGGGTCCCTTTTAGATCAGGAAATAGAGATTTTTGAGACCTGTTCTTTCTGCTCAGTTCCTATGTTTCTTTATAGAGAATGTTTTTCATTTGGCTATAACTTTTCTCTGGGCTATTGAGAGGTGCTGTGAGTTCTATGATGACACACAGAATAGAAATCCTATAGACAGTCATCTAGGCTCAGCCTTCTTTACAGTTTTTTTTTACTGCAGGAACTGAACTTGGCTATGCCTGTGATGTTCTCCAGTCTTACTCTTTTAAAACTGACTTTTTACTGTCTTACTGACTTGGTGCCACCACTGGCTCTACTGTTACACCTAAGATTATCATTAAATCCTCATTTACTTATCTTAAATTTCTAGTCACAGTGTTTATTAATTTGGTTGTTATGATAGCTTCAGAACAGCGGTTTTGTTTAGCTGTAGAAAGCACTGTACCTTATTACCAGGCCTGTGATATTTGAGTCTTTCATCTGACATGAATTGAAGAATTTATTCATGCTGCTTTCTTAAAAGGTTTCCTGTGAATCATTTTAATAGCATTTATTCTCTTGTAAATTAAATGGCTGCAGAAATGAGAAGTTGTCGTTCCCTCCCCATCCTTCTCCTTCATGTGCCTCCTGTGAAGCAAAGCTAGGTATAACTGTAGTGCACTTTAACAACTAGATATAGTATGGTAACTCTGGTTTACCTACTACTTCACTGGGCACATGAGAGGTGATCTCTGCCATTGTAGATGCCTGCTATCCTCTTACTTTAATCATGATTACTGATGATCTGTATTTCACTTAACTAACTAAACCTTCCGAGCAATAAGTCTAAGTGATGTTCCATTTTCATTTCTGTGTGGATATTGTCCAGCCTCTTTGAGCTCAATGACTAAAAATCTGTGGAAGCTAAATAGCTGGTGCAGTGCTCTTTCTTAAGTCCCAGGACTGTGATTTCATTTACTCACCTTGGCTCACACCAGAAATTCAGTCTATGTAAGAAGAATTCTGTGTTCATACACAAATCCTTAGTGCTGTTTTTTTTTTTTTAAATAAAGTTATATAAATATAATAGTGCTGTTATTGTTTTTAAAAATAATTCAAAAAATCTCTGTGTAATTACTCTGACAGTAGACACAGAGGGGTGAAAACAAGAATTCTGTTATATTTGTGGCTCATTACATGACATTGTTTCAGCTCTCTTGACCAGTGGAGGCAAAAAGCGAAGTTCACTATAGATATTTCTTGCAAT